ATGTGTGGGGTAAGGAAGGGGTGTGAGGGTCAGGGAAGGGGTTTCTGGAGCAGAGAAGGGGTGTCTGGAGCAGGGAAGGACTGTCTGGAGCAGGGAAGAGGTGTGAGGAGCAGGGAAGGGGTGTGAGGAGCAGGGAAGGGCTGTCTCCAACCCTGTTTTGTAAGGGGCTTCCCCCGTCAGACTTCACTCCTTGCACTCAATAATCTTAGAGATCACTGCCAGCCTCACTTCTGTGATTCTTTAAAAGTAATCATGGAATCACAAACCTCAGGATGGTTTGGGTTGGAAGGACCTTAAATCTCATCTTGTTCCACTCCCTGCCATGAGCAGGGACACCTTCCACTAACTCAGGTTGCTCCAAGCCCCATCCAACCTGGTCTGGAACACTTCCAGGGATGGAGCAACCACAGCTACTCTGGGCAACCTGTGCCAGTGCCTCAGCACCTCACAGGGAACAGTCCCTTCCCAACATCCCATCTAACCCTGGAGTCAGGGTTTTCCCTGCCAGCTGGGTGGGTGAGGAGGGCAGGGAGGGTTCAGAGCATGTTCCCGACAGGGTATGTGACCACTATCCTGGAGGATGCCAAGATCTACTCGAGCCATGCCAAGAAGTCGAGCGTGGATGCGGACGACGTGCGCTTGGCGATCCAGTGCCGCACGGACCAGTCCTTTACCTCCCCCCCACCCAGAGATGTGAGTGCAGGGGGGTCACAGCCCCAGCCCGGGCTGGGGGGGGCTCGGGGGGCATGGCCCTGTGTCTCCAGTTCCTCTTGGACATTGCCAGGCAGAAGAACCAGACGCCACTGCCCCTGATCAAGCCTTACTCCGGCCCGCGGCTCCCACCCGACAGGTACTGCCTCACCGCCCCCAACTACAGGCTCAAGTCCCTGCAGAAGAAGGTGAGAGCTGTGGGGTGTGGGATTTGTCTCCTGCACACCTGGTTTGGTGGGAACGGGATGGGTCGGTGTGGGCATCACCTCATCCTCCAGCTGGATTAGCATGGATAATGCCACACCTCTGGATGGTGTGGAAAACACCTTTGTGTTGGGTGGAGACTGAGCTGTGAGTGTTGGAAGCTGTCAGTTCTCTGTGTCCAGGTTGGATTGTAAATGTTCTTCTTGCTGGTCAAATTTAAGTGTAAAATGAGGGATAAAATCCATCTGGGAATGTTTTAGTGTTAAAGCAATGTCACAAATCACAGGATCATTGAGGTTGCAAAAGTCCTCCAGGGGCACCATGTCCAACCCGTGACTGATCACAGCCTTGTCAGCTAGAGCAGAGCACAGAGCAGAGCCACATGTCCAGTTGTTCCTTGAACACCCCCAGGGGTGGTGACTCCACCTTCTCCCTGGGTAACCTATTCCAGTGTCTAATCACCCTTTCCACGGAGGAATTCCTGCAGCCCAGGAGGAAGTGTCAGGTTGACTATCAAAGACACAGCTCAGGTTTGGCTTAGCTATTAAAGGCTATTTTGTCCTTACACCTCAGTTAACTTCTGCTGTAGGGGGAAGAGCTTTGCTTTGCTGCTTTTGCAAACACTGTGAGGGATTTTGTGTTTGTTTCCCCACCCCATTCCATGATTCCCTGTCTCTCTCCACAGGTTTCCTCCACAGCAGGGAGAATCACAGTCCCTCGTCTGAGCGTGGGTGCAGTGAGCAGCAGGCCCAGCACTCCCACCCTGGGTAGGAAACTCCCCCAGGGGCTTCCCTCCTTCATTTTACCAAGGGAATAATAAAGAGGAATAATTCCAAGGCCATTCCAACCCTTGAGGGACTGTCAGGATCACACCTGATGTGAAAGCATCAGAGAAGTGAACTGAAATAGATTCACCTCATCCTTATTACTGCACTGATCTCTGAGCTACAAATAACTGCAGAGGCACAAGTACATTTCAGAGAGGCAAATCCATTGCAGGTCCATCAATCCATTGCAGATCCATCCGTTCCTTGCAGATCCATCCATGCGTTGTGTATCTGTGAGACATCAGTGTATTGATGGATGTATAAATGTCTTGGTGATAAATCCTCTATTTAAGAAGCTAATCATGAAACTTACTGAGGTCTGGGGTTTTTTTTCCTCATGGACACTGAACTAAATAGCACTAAATAAAAGCCATTTCTTAAAGGTTCCCAAAATTTAGGGCTGGGCATTTATTAATGTGTGTTTGGAGCTTAGAATTGGGTAGTAAATGAGGTGAAATGGCTCAACGTTTGGTCCTGCCTGAGAATGTGACTCTTTACGTCCCCCATCAGTGAGTTCCTGTGTGTTCCCACTGTGTCCAAACCAGCAGGTTGCACTTGGGAAGCCAAAGGAGGGGTGAGGATGCTCGTGGCTGTGTTTGATGTGCTGCTGTCTGTGCTGGTGTTGCAGGGACACCCTCAGCCCAGGCCGTGTCAGTGTCAGCCAAGGTGGGAGCCCCAGTGTCCCTGGCAGGGCAGCGTTTCACCGTGCAGATCCCATCCTCACAGCCTGCTGGAAAGTCAGGTACAGCTCCCCCAGCCCTGGGGCACCACAGCACGATCCCTGCATAGGGGGAACCAGGAATCTCACACTGGGATGGGTGGGAAGGGGAAATGCTCATCTAACCCACCCCCTGCCCTGGGCAGGGACACCTCCCACCAGCCCAGGCTGCTCCAAACCCGACCAGCCTGTCCTGGAACACTCCCAGGGATGAGGCAGCCACAGATGTTCTGGCTTAATGTGGGAAATTGCCTCCTCTCTCCTTCATTCCAGTAACTTCTGGAGTGAATTCCCATTCCCAGCACAGAGCATCAGCTCTTTGCTCCAGCTCTGTGTTCTCTTCTGCCCTCACCCCAAGAGCATTGTCCTGTCTTTTCCACTTCTCCCTCAGGCTGATTGCAGGAGTTTCAGCCCAGAGTGCTGTAGCATCACACTGGAATTTTTATTCCAGTGGGGGGAAAAATCCAGTTGTTTTTTCAAGCCTTCACTAAGGTTCTTTCTCTCTGCTTTCCCAGCCACCCCAACAACCCCCACAGTGCAGAATGTGCTGATCAATCCCTCCCTCATTGGGCCCAAGAACATCCTCATCACCACCAACATGGTGTCCTCACAGAGCACAGCCAACGACTCCAACCCCCTCAAGAGGAAACACGAGGACGACGACGACTACGACAACTTGTGACAGGACTGGCCCAGCCCTTCCCCCCTGAGGGGGCTCACAGGAGATGCTGTGCCCAGCTGCAGGTTTGGGGGGCTCAGCTGCTGGCAGGGGCTCCTGAGGGTGTCGGGGCTGGGTGAGGTCAGTGTGGGTTTGTGTGTCAGGTAATAAAGAGCAGTGTTTGTTTGTACGCAGGTTTGGTGTTGTGTCTCACACACAGAGACACAGACAAACACCTCTGTGACCTGGGGCAGGTGTGTGATAGCTATAGGTGTCACACACAGACCCACCTGGAATCCTGCACACAGCTCTGGGGCCTCTGCGTGAGGAGGACATGGAAGTGTTCTCAAGTGCAGAGGAGGCCACGAAGTTGCTCAGAGGATTGGAGCATCTCTCCCCTGTGAGGACAGGCTGAGGGAGTTGGGGCTGTTGAGCCTGGAGAAGAGAAGGTTGTGTGGAGACCTCAGAGCACCTTCCAGGAGCTGAAGGGGCTCCAGGGAAGCTACAGAGGGATCTGTGTTAGGAGCTGCAGGGACAGGACAAGGAGTAATGGGTTCAAACTGAAGCAGGGAAGGTTTAGACTAGATATTGGGAAGGAATTCTTCCCTGTGAGGGTGGTGAGACACTGGCCCAGGTTGCCCATGGAGTCTGTGGCTGCCCCAACCCTGGCAGTGTTCACAGCCAGGTTAGCTGAGCCTTGGGCAACCTGCTCTGGTGGGAGGGTTAAGTCCTCACCTCGAGGCTGGGAAGGGATGTGGGATGGGAAGGGATTGATGCCCTTTCATTATGGCACAAGCTCTGAGAACTTGGAAGCTTCTTTGAGTCACTTGGAACCATCTTAAAACTCTCAGGGACTTCAGTTGCTTGGAAAGCAGAGAGGACTCAAGTTTAGGCCTAAAGTAGATATTGGGAAGAAATCCTTCCCTGTGAGGTGCTGAGGCACTGGCACAGGTTGCCTGGAGCAGCTGTGGCTGCTCCATCCCTGGGAGTATTCCAGGCCAGGTTGGATGGGGCTTGGAGCAGCCTGGGCTGGTGGGAGATGTCCCTGCCCAGGGCAGGAGGTGGAATGAGATGAACTTTAAGGTCCCTCCAGCCCAAACCAGTCTGGGAGCCCATGGTGTACAAGTCCAGGTGAAGGTCTGGGTCATCTCCAACAGCACTGGAGGAAAACAAAATGAACTAACAAAATTGGATTTATCCCATTTTCTTTGTGCTGTGACTCAGGAGTTAGGGCTGAGGGGGAAGGAGGGGAAAGGAGAACAGCAGCACTCAGTTTGGGCTGTTAACTGCAAATCAGGTAAGACACAAACCAGCTGAGCTGGTCCCAGTGGCTGCACAAGTGCTGGAACAGCTTTGAGTCAGCTCTAAGTGTCAAGTTAAAACCATTTTAGTAATTACTTTATTAGAGCTACAACAAGAGTTAAAATCCCTACATTATTCACATAGGACAAGTTTCCAACTTCATTGAATGAGGCCAGAGCGGCTAGGTACCAGTTCCTAAGGCTAGCAGCTGGAACAGCTCCTCAGGCTGCCTGGGAGGGACAGGACCAGGTCTCCAACTCCAGTGCAAAGTTCTTCCAGGGGCACAGATGAACCTGTATCTAGTGTTCACAGCTCAGGAGGAGAGGCAGCAGGCAAACCATCTCCACTCCTACAGGAATCCCAGAGGAGCTTCCCACCCTCCCCACACAGAAATATTTACAGAGACACAGCTAGTTAGGATCAATGGTTAACTCCTGGCTGAGGGCAGGAGACACCAGGCACGAGGTATTGGCTGCTGCAGCAGCAAGAGAGCTCCACTCCTTCCAAAGGCCCCAGGAATGTGGCCTAAAGGGGCCGGGACAGGTCCTGGAGGCATCAATCAAACTCCTCTTTGATGGGGGTGCAGCCCGAGAAGAAGCTGGTGTTGCTGCTCAGCATCCTCTTCTTCCTCTTCACAAGGGGTAGTTGGTTCTCCTGAGCCTCCTCATCCCTTTGGAGGGGGGAGACAGCAGTGCTGGACTTCCTCAGGAGCACCTCCTGGTCCGTGATGTCCTGCAGGACCTGTTGGGAAAGACTTGGCAGTTAGTCCCTGCTGGAGGTGAGTGTGAAGGCAGCACAGACAACTGCCAGGCCAACAGCTGCTGAATTTAAATCACTCAAGTGAAAAGAACCAATTTTGGGGTGTCAAGAGACCAAGAGTGAGCAGGAAGAGGATGAATTGGAATGGTGGGTACCCATGGGATAAGGGAATTGAGTTAGCTGAGGCAAAGTGGGAGGTGCCAAGCAGAGAGCACAGTGGCTGCTGAACAGTGTTTGGACATGGACAGGTATGATCTAATCCTGCAAGATCTTCAATTCCCACCTCTCTTTCCTGGCTGGAAGCTGCCAGCAGGTGTGGCAACATTTAAGGATGAAAACCTGACCATAAATGAGACTCAGGGTTCAGTGGCAGATCTGTTACCAGCTGGAGGCTGTGCAGAGCCCTCAGGTCACTTCCCTCTGAGGGTCCCTCCCCTGCAGCCTTGGGCAGTACCTTGGTGGTTGGAGTGATACACACAGGCTGGAAGAAGGTCTCTCCTGCTGCCACCTCTGTGGGATCTTCCAGCTTGAAGGAGCTTTCCAAGTCCCTCTTGTGGTCCTCACATGTCGTGGCATCCTGAGGGGCAGCACTAGGACTAGGATAACATCCATCCTTCCCTTTCCCACCACCAGCTGGAGGAATCCCAGGGGTTCCCTATCCACCTGCTCTCCAGGTAACCCACAGGACAGGGAGCTGCCTGCAGGGCAGGCTCCTGGCTCAGAAAACAGGCAATAGTCACTGTGCTCAGGGACGTCTCTGCTTCAGAGGTCCAAGAGCAACAGAGACACTTCCAGCCATCACTGCTCATGGACCTTCCTGCTGCTGCAATCCCTCCCCAGATTATCCCTCCCATACTTAACGAGCAATAAATCTGACCATGAGTTAACCTGGCCTAGTGAGATGTCCCTGCCCAGGGTAAGGGATTGGGATTAGATGATCTGTCCATTCCACCCCTTAAATTCTATGATTCTATTCTATGATTCTCTGGTTTTTGCCATCTGAATCCAAAGGTACAACTTGAATTTACTGAGTGCAAAAGCCTTAAAGCCATTTGTCCTAAGATTTGTGGCTGACAAATGGGAATAGGTAATGTGACAGCTCCAGAGGTCTGTGCTCAGAGCCAGAGCTTAGTCCTGCAGTGGAAAATTGACCTCAGTTATGAGGGAAATGCTACTTTATGGTATTCCCAGTGTTTGAGCAGCTGAGCCTGTGCTGAGTGATCCCTGGGCACGCTTTGAGGCTCTCTGCCCACCCAGGCCCAGCAGTACTCACCAGGCCACGCTCTCTGTTCCTGCACTTGGCCGAGTCACAGCTGCAGCTGTGGGTGCAGCACAACTTCTGCTTCCTGCAGCCACACTGCCTGTTCCCACAGTGGTAGCCCTGCAGGCGGAAAGAGTCCCTGGTTAACCCTCTGCACCCCCCCACGAGTGGCAGCTCAAGGGCAGTGCCATATCCCCAAGCTGCCACAGACCTTTCAGTGCTCCACAGCAATCCCAGGAGGAGAATCCTCCCACCTCCAGAGCCATTTAAAGCACCTTCAGTTACTCAGTTCCCCTTTTCAGGTTATCCCAAAGTGCCACTTAGACCAGCCAACACTTCCCTGGGTGGAGGGAAACTGAGTCACCACACTGAGGTTCTCCATCCAGCTAGAGGTGACCCAGTTTAGCCACCTGATGGCTTAGCAGCCCAACCCTTGGCAGGCTTTGAGCTCAGTAGAGCACACAGAGCTCCAGGCCTGACCTGAGTAGGGAATTACACTGCATCTCCACAAATGAACCCAAAGAGACAAGAGTCAACACTTCCTTCCTGCAATGTGGCCAAAATCTCCCTCAAGCCACTGCAGGTCAGAGGTTGACAAGCTGCAGTGAAAGGGTGGCCTCAAAGTCATGATTTTCTGTAGTAATTGCTGATGTTTTCAGCCACTCAGTGGTGAAATATAGAAGAATATAGAGGCTCTGTCAGGATGAGAAGCTGCAGATCCCCACAGAGGGACCAGGGACAGGGATACACAACAACCCATCCCTTTTCTCCCCCTGAAGGAGGCTCCTTGAAGGAATTAGGCTGCTCTGAGGGCTCCTCTGCTGCCCTGAGACCAGTTCAGGCACAGGCAGCAGGACAGAGTGTGTCTCATGGCAAAAAAAAAAAAAAAAAAGACTTGTCCAGGGGAAAATTCTTCAGAAAGGTGTTTCTGACCACAGACAACCTTTGCTCTGTCTGTGGGAAGATGATAAGCCACCCATGGCAGCAGAAGTGTCACGCTAAGGCTCCTCAGAGCAGCAGTGGAGACATCTCACTGCTCCTCTGTCCACAGAGATCCATAGGGCACAGGTGGTTCCCTATGGGCACTGGACCTTACCCCCATCGGGCTTCTCTTGGGTCCTCTGGCTGCTTTTCCAGGCACCCAGTCTGCATCCTCCCTCTCCCCACCGGAGTCCTCGGAGTCGGAGAACAGCTCGTCCATGGCCATGTCGGGGCTGGGCGCACGCGGCTTGGCCGACGTCTGTCTGCGCGGCTTGGGCTGCAACACAGCCACCACCACAGCTCAGCCAGAGCCAGAGAGGCACCTCACAGAGCCACCTCACAGAGCCCTCCAGGCCCGTAGGAGGCTCAGGGAGGATTGTGGGGTGAAGGAGAAGGATTAAGTTGTCAGGATGTCACTGTTAGGTTGTTCTGACCTTGGCAGTGCTCAAAGGTCAAGTGGCATCAAGCCTTGAGCTTGGTCTGGTGGGAAAGGTGTTCCTGCCCAGGGCAGGGGGTGGGGTTGGATCTATAAGGTCTTTTCCAACACAAACCACTCCATGATTCATTCCTCAAGGCCAGGTTGGCTGAAGCCTTGAGCAACCTGCTCTGGTGGGAGGTGTCCCTGCCCAGGGCAGGGGTTGGGGCTGGGTGAGCTCTGAGCTCCATCCCAACACACTCAAACTATTAACAGCCAAGACTAACTCTGGGAAAGAACCATGGACAGCCCAAGCAAACTGTAAGCAGCATCTTACTTTGGGGGGAAGATAATCGAAGGAAGAGTCTGGGGACTCTGGTGGCACTTTCTGCAGGTGCTGGAGTTTCTGTGCACTGGCAGCTTGGAGCAGCAGCAGTTTCTGTTGGGAAGGGACAAGAATTATCTTTGCAGAAGACATTAACCCATGTGCCATGAAGTTCTCATGGCTGCACAGAGCTCTACCTGTTTCAAGGTGTCATTTTCCTGGAGGAGTTCTTGGTTCTTCTCACAAATCTCCCTCATTTTCTCCAACTCTTCTTCCTGTTTGCCAGACAAGAGAAGAATCACAGAGTTATTCAAACCTGCGCAGGAATTATTCCCTGAACCTCAGCCCCAAAGGGAATGCTCACAATCCTGCACCTCCTTCCCTCCAAAGCTTCCATTCCAGGCAGCCCAAAGGATCACATCCTCCCCAGCCGCATCCTCACACTGTACCTGGAACCTGAGTCTCTCCTGCAGCTGCTTCTCCTGCTCGTTCAGGGAATCTTCCAACCTCTTCTCTTCTGCTTCTTTCTGCTTGAATTGACTGAGCAGATACAGGACCTAAAAGCAAGTCAGAGTCAAGAGAGATAAATTCCTGAAGGAACATCAAAGGCAATTTCATGAAGATTCTACAACTTCCAGCAGGATTCCACCTTGGCCTACTTGAAGTGATCTTGTGCTCAGCTCAGAGATAACATCCTCACTTAAAGCACTGAAGTCCTTGAATAAACCAACTGTGCCCAGAGAGCTGTGAGGAATGGAGCTCAATCCAATTGGAGCTGTCACTGGTGATGTTCCCCAGAGCTCAGTGTTGGGGCAGGTCCTGTTTGACATCCTTAGGGATGATCTGGACATGGGGAGTGAGTGACCTCAGGGAATTTGCAGAGGACACTGAGCTGGGTGGGAGTGTGTATCTGCCTGGGGCTAGGAAAGCTCTATAGAGAGACCCGGACAGACCTGATCAGTGGCTGAGGACAAGTGCAGGAGGGTCAGTAAGGCTCAGTGCTGGTCCTGCCCTGGGTTCACAAGGTGTTTCAGAGGTGTCTGGACGTGACACTGGAAGATCTGGTTTAGGGTCTAGGGGTTCCAGCAGTGACAGGTTCATGGTTGGTCTCAATGACCTTAGAGGTCTCCTCCAGCTGGAGGTTCCATGATTCTAACTGGCACAGGACACAGAATGAATAGGAAGATTTTTTTGGCTCTTTATGAATCATCTGCAGGATTCTAACACACCAAGCTTGGCTTCAGCTCATCCCTTTACCCTCGAGCAGGAATCAGTCCCTGAGTGCTCAGTATTCCCATGCCTCATGTTTCACCTTCTCCTGGTGCTGCTGCTCCTGCACTAGGTGCTTGTTCTGGAACTGAGCCTGCAGCTCTGTCACATGGTTCCTCTCCTCTATCAGCATCTTCTGCACATCTGAGCAGGTGGCCTTGCTCTGCTCCAGGCTGCTCTGCAGCTTGCTCTCCTGCACCTTGGAGGACACCAGCTGCAAGACAGAGCCAGGGGATGGCTCGGCTCAGGGGTCCATGCTAGCACAGGAGACGAGCCTGGGGGTGAAGCTCTTGTGGCACTTCTTGTCACCCCCAGAGCTGCACTGGCCACCAGCAATGAGACCAGGGCTGACACGTGGTAACCATTTTGGAAGGGCCAAACAGGGAGCAGAGGGTCCCATGACCAGGCCTAGATTCATCTCCCTTCTTGCAGCACTTGGAGTACTTGTCTTTTCATTTTTTGTCTTCCAGGCAGTGACAGATGATTCTGTCCTTCAGCTGCTCTTGCCCTAATTCCACATTAAACCAATTCCTACTCTCCCCCAATCTTGTCCAAGCTTCTCCCCTGAGCTCATCCTGCACTCTCATTGTTTCTCTGCTCCTTCAGATTATATTTTTAGGTACTTTTTTCCTCTTCCACTTCCAAAACTGGTCTTTTCCCTTTTCCTATCCCAGCCTGTCAGCACAGCTTGAGTTGCTATCTCCAGACCCACATCAATTCCATTTCCCTCTTTCCTGTGTTTTGGATTTCACTCCCCAGTACAAGAGAATATTTGAATCCAAAGTTGTGAGGGAAATAAACCTCGTCCAGCTCCACACAACCCATCCCTGCTGTCAGCATCTCAGCCCCTCCTTTCATTTCTAGCTAAGGAATCTCCTAACTGAGAGCCTTTGATTTTAGAGCTGAGAGAGGACAATCCAGCACTTACCTCTCCAAGGAGATACTTCAGACCACATTTGGCCTCCAGGATGGTGGCAATGCTGTCCCAGCGCTGCTTGGCACGGTCTCCACCGTCTGCATCCAGGAGCTTCTGCTGCAGGTCTGCTATCTGAGCACTCCTGGGGACAACCCAGGGATTTAGGTTACACAACAGGACAAAGCCAGGGCAGGTGTCTGGCTAAAGATCCTGTTCCCAGAGCACTAGATAAAGCAGTTCCAGTTGAAGCTGGGGATGTTGAGTGGGACAGTTGGAACCTGCAGAGCTGCACTGGTTGTTGTGCCTCCCCTCACCCTCCAGGTATTTAGCCCTTATTGGTGCTCCCAGCCAGCCAAGAAAAATCTAAGTATAGAATCATTAAACCATCAAGGTTGGAGGAGGCCTCGAAAAGCATCAAGGGCAACCACTAACCTGTCACTGCTGGAACCCCTAAACCCTAAACCAGATCCTGCAGTGTCACATCAAGACACCTCTGAAACCCCTCCAGGGATGGGGTGACTCCACCACCTCCCTGGGCAATATCCCAGGGCCTCAACACCACAACAGGGAAAACATTTCTCCTCACATCCAATCTGACTCTGCCCTGGCTCAGCTCAAGGCCATTCCCTCTAGTCCTCTCCCTGCAGCCCTGGCAGGACACACATCCCCCACCTGTCTCCAGCCCTGGCAGGAGTTGCAGAGAGCCAGGAGGTCACCCCTGAGCCTCTTCTCCAGGCTGACCAAGCCCAACTCCCTCAGCCCTTGCCCATGTGCTCTAGCCCTTTGCTGCCCTAGTTGCCCTTGGCTGGACTTGCTCCAGTGCCTCAATGGCCTTTGGGCAGGGAGTGCCCAAAGCTGAGCACAGCACTGAGCTGGGACCTCCCCAGTGCCCAGTCCAGGGGGATAAGCACTGCCCTAGTCCTGCTGCCACACTCTGCTGGAGCCAGGCCTAGGTGCCCTTGGCCTCCTTGGCCACCTGTGCACACTGTTGGCTCCCACTGAGCTGTGCCACCAGCACTGCCAAGGCCTTTGGGACCAACACATATCACATCACTGTGACTGATATCCCCACACTATGGAGAAATCCCATACAGGAAAACCATGTCGTTTTCTCTCATCATTTCTAGTGTCAGGACATGAGTTATTTACATTCTCCTCCATTTCCCAGGAGAGTTGAGACAGAGGTGAGGACAAACCCAGGAGATGCTGTGCAGCTCAGCTGTGTGTGCTGCCTCACCTGAGCTCCATCTCGGTTTCCAGGCTCTCTATCTGCTTGGATATGGAGAGGTCCATGTCTGGAGACCGCAGCTCAGTGAAGCAGAAGGTTCTTCTCTGGGGAAGCAGAGCAGGACACAGGTGAGGAGATCCCACAGCCACAGACATTCCAGCAGCTAAACCTCACTCACTTACATTGTTAAAGTCTCCAAGGATCTGTCCCCAGCTTTAATTCCATAGCTTCATCCCCACAGCTGTGACCCACTCACAGCCCTCTAGATTATTCAGCCTGGAAATGACCTCCAAGATCATCACATCCAACCATTCCACCTGCCAAGGACACCTCTAACCATGTCTCCCCAAGTGCCACGTTCACATTTTTTGGACACCTCCAGGTATGGTGATCTCCACCACTGCCCTGGACAACCTGTCCCAAAGCTTGGCCACCCATTCAGTGAAGAAATTCTCCCTAATCACATTAATTAAGCTACTTCAGCACCTCTGGTCCATGACATGCCAGAGGACACCACCACTAACCCTTTCTTCCATGAAGATAGGCAAGTATAGATTATCTACTTTTTTTGGACACCTCCAGGTATGGTGATCTCCACCACTGCCCTGGACAACCTGTCCCAAAGCTTGGCCACCCATTCAGTGAAGAAATTCTCCCTAATCACATTAATTAAGCTACTTCAGCACCTCTGGTCCATGACATGCCAGAGGACACCACCACTAACCCTTTCTTCCATGAAGATAGGCAAGTATAGATTATCTACTCCTTTTTGAGGGGTCAAGCAGGTTGGGAGTATTGACCATTCCAGCATTGCTGAACCCATTCCTCCATGAAGGTAGGAAAGGATGGAGCTCCAACCCTTTCTGAGAGAACAGGTCAAGCAGGAGTGGGAGTACTGATCACTTCAGCACTGCTGAGAAGCCAGAGGTGTGGGACAGGGAAGGTGATGTCTCCCTTACCCGGATCTTTGAGGGAAGGTTTTCCCCAGCCTCCTTCTTCTCTTTAAGCTGGAGGAGCTCCTGTGCCAAGATCTTTCTGTCCTCCAGCAGGTCTGCAAGGTGCCTTCGAGCCTCCTCAGTGCTGACTAGAACCTCGACTTCATTTGCCAGCCAACTCTGGAAGGAACAACCCCCCCAAACAGAGCAGTTAAGTCTCAACTCCAGCCCTGAATCCTTCTCCGTCAAGGCACTGAGAACTTCAAATCACCACACTGCAGCTCCCAGTCCCTCCCCAGTATGCTCCAGCCAAGCCCAGTTTGCCCTCTGGAATGGAGATCAGCGTCACCCACTTTGACTCGTGCAGCAATGCCTTCCATGCCCCTGTTCTGGCTCTCCTTGCGTTTGTCTGCAGCTTCCTTCTGCTTCTGCAGGGCATCCTTCAGCCTCTTGTTAGCTGCTGCTGCCTGCAAACACACCACAGGAGCTCAGCAGGGGCTGTGGCACCTTCTCTGCAACAGCTGGAAGCATCAGAGGTTCCCACACAAGGCACTGGGACAGTGAGAGCACAAGGAATGAAGCAGAACAGCTTCAAAGTCCTCAACTGATTTCCTTTGCTTCTAGGCTTCCTTTCTGCCAGGCCTAAAGGTATCCAAAGTGATGGTTTCAAGAGGTGTTTCTCCAGTATCACCAGCCTGAAAGGATGTTCAGCTGCAATGTAGTATCTGTCACTCACTCAAACTCATTTCACACTTCCTAGCTTGGGCATCTGGGATGGATCTGCCACAGGAGCCTGAAGGCCAGTTCTGGCCTTTAAACACAGAACCACCAAGGCTGGAAGAGATCTTTTAGGTCATCAAGTCTAACTGTTAGATCAAGTCTAACTGTTAAGGAGCAGATTGGACTAGAATCCCTCAAAGACAGAAGTGTGGATTTCTCCACAGAGAAAAGCACTTTATTTCCAGCCTCTAAACTGCCTTGAAGAGGTTCCTGCATGTCCCACTCCACCCTCTAGCCCCACTCTGCAGACCTGGGGGACTGGGCAGGGGTCAAGGCTGGAAGAGACCTTTAAGACCACCAAATCCAACAGTTAGACCACCAAGTCCAACCATTAAGGAGCAGATTGGACTAGAATCCCTCAAAGGCTACAAGACACAAGAGTGGATTTCTCTACAGAAAGAGATGGTCTTATTTCTACCCTCTAAACTGTCTTTAAGGGACTTCTGCATGTCCCATTCCACCCTCCAGCCCCACTCTGCAGACCTGGGGGATTGGGCAGTGTCAGGGTTGGAGGAGACCTTTAAAATCATCAAGACCAACTGTTAGACCACCAAGTCCAAGAGTTAAGGAGCAGATTGGACTAGGATCCCTCAGAGGCTGCAAGACACAACTGTGGATTTCTCTACAGAGAGAAAAGCTCTTATTTCCAGCCTCTAAACTGCCTTGAAGAGGTTCCTACACGTCCCACTCTGCAGCCCTGAGGGACCTGGCAGGGGTTGGAAGCAGGTTGGGCTCCTCACCTCCTCTGTTTTGCGCCTCAGCACGTTGGCTTGCTTCTGGAAATCTCTCTCAAGCTTGTGCAGCTCATACTCTCTCTTACGATCCTGCAAGGAAACACCACGAAAACACATGGGAAAGGCACATGAACTCCACATTTCCCATGGCAAAGCTTCAGCAGCCCCAGAGCCAGAAGTGCAAGACTGAGCAGCCCAAGGCACTGAGGGGTAAGAACTGCTGTAAGAGCACAACTCCAGACATTTGCTGCCCATTCCTCTGGGATGCCACAAGCACCTGGAGTTCATCATCCTGCACGTCCAATATTCCTGGGAAAGCTGAAACACCTCCCATTTGGGGGCCAAACCCTGCAGCTTTAGAAGATCTAGTATTTTTGGCCTTCTCTTTAGAGCTGAACCACAACTGTGCCAAGAGCTTGAAGATCTCCAGCCACAAGTGCATTTGCAGCTGGTGTAGGTTGGCAGACACATGAACCAACTCCTCAAAGCATTCCCAGCTGGTCTTCAGCTGCTTCCCAGTGCAACAAACCTTGCAGCAAAGACTTTGGTGGTTTGTTTTAACTCTTTGGAGGGAGGTATAGGTTTAGGGCTTGGTTGCTCACCCTTTCTTTCAGCTGGAGCACTTCCTTGTCCTTCTGCTGCTTCAACTGCCTGAACTTTTCAGCGTCTTCTTTCATCTGGCGCATCAGCTGCACCCGCTGCTGCTTCATCTCCTGCAGAGCACAGGGAGGGGTGGACTCAGCATGGCAGTGAGGAAAACCACTGCCCCTGTGGCAGGGGGAAACAGATGCTCAGGGAAGTCACTGGTGTGTTCAAAGAATCACCAAGGTTGGAGGAGACTTGGAAGAGCATCAAGTCCAGTCATGAACCTGTCACTGCTGGAACCACTAAACCCTAAACCAGATCCACCAGAGCCATATCAGAGACCTCTGAAACACCTCCAGGGGTGGTGACTCCACCCCCAGTCCAGGGGGGTGAGCACTGCCCTAGTGCTGCTGCCACACTCTGCTGCAGCCAGGACAAGATGCCCTTGGCCTCCTTGGCCACCTGTGCACACTGTTGGCTCCCACTGAGCTGTGCCACCAGCACTGCCAAGGCCTTTGGGACCAACACCTCTGTCCCCCACTGCTCCCCCAGCCTGGAGCTGCATGGGCTGTTGTGTCCCCAGGGCAGGACCAGCACTGAGCCTTACTGACCCTCCTGCACTTGTCCTCAGCCACTGATCAGGTCTGTCCAGGTCTCTCTCTAGAGCTTTCCTACCCCCAGGCAGATCCACACTCCCACCCAGCTCAGTGTCCTCTGCAAACTCTCTGAGGTCACTCAATCCCCACATCCAGATCAGCACTAAGTCAAGTGATCTGACTGAGGCATTACATTACCAGAAGTGCAGAAGACCCTTTGGAATGATTTTACTTCTCCAAGCTTCAGTAGTCACCTGCCTAGGGTGTTACACCAGCAATTGTGATCATGGAGCCAAAGGAATCTTCCCAAAACCTGATGTTGTGTGTTGGCAGACTGAGGCAGTGAGTGGTTCTGTCTGGGAGCTGCTCTGTCTGCCCTGCAGCAGGTCAGAGCTGCCTGCTGAGGATTAGTTACCCTGATCTCTTGGTTCAGCTTGGACACGGTTCGCTCTGTGCATTCCTTCAGCTTGAGGAGTTTGGATTGCTCATGCAGCTTCTTCTTCAGCTCATTCATTTTTGCCTCCAACTCCTGGAGCCTCTTCCGACGCCTCTCGCTCAGTCTGTGAAGAAACCACACTTGAACACACCAAATCCTCTCCAGTTTCAGAGACACCTCAGGGAAAGGAAAGTATTTGTGTGTTGTCCCTTTTCCTGCTGCTTCTCTGCAGCTCACACAACTCTCCTGGCATGTTACAGGGACACACTGACACCAAATAAGCTTTTATAGAGAGCAGAAGGCCAAGACAGTGAGTTTTCAGCCATATTAGCACAACCCAGAGCTGTAAGCAGAGTCACCCTTACTTGGCCTGGTTGATATCCTTCTTTGCCATATGCAGAGCAAGGAACAACTCTTCCTTTTCTTTCTGCAAGTTGCTGACCTCCAACTCCAGATCCTTGATGTTAGTCTGGAAAGGACAAGATTAGAAAAGCTGCAAATAAAAACCTTGAAAATGCACAGTGAGACAAAGCTTTGAGACCTTGAGAAACCACAACCCTTCCTTGCAGATAAACCACCTGGTCTGTGAGCAGCGAGTGGCACAAGGGCTGGAACACCACACACTGAGGCTTTGGTGGGGTACAGACCCACTGAGACTGAACAATTCCAGAGGTGGGAGATGCCAGCATAGCTGGAAGAGCTGCTCAAAGGGGCAGGATACAGCTTAGGACATCATAGACCCAAAGCAGAACATGCTCATGAGGTGACAGATCTCTTCCCTCCCCAGCATGGAGTGATTGCATTAACTGGGCAAGACAAACTGAGCTTATCCTCACCAGAAGGATTTCAGGAGTTTACCTGGTACTGGGACTGAATGGGCTCCAGCTGAGTGTCATTCTGAGTCATTTTTTTGGCCAGAGCCTCCTTCAGACTCAGAGCTTTGTTCAGCTCCAGCAGCTCCTTGGACAGCTGTGCCTGGCGCAGAGCATGTTGAGTGCTGAAGTCATTGGAGGATCTCTTGGCATCCTGACCCACTTCTGCTTCCTGCAGGAGACACAGCAGTGAGCAGGAGAGGCCAAGCCAAAGCTCTTCAGTTATGTGGCCACAGTTCCTGCAGAGCACTTCAGATTTAGGGTTTGCATCAAAAAATTACTCAGAAATGAGAACAGGGAATTATTTGAACACACTGAGCAGTAAGGAGCAGGGAAAGGCATTTATCAGGCACTGGGAGCAGGAACTAGCAGGAGGAAACAGATAAAAGGGATGAGGACACCCAACAAGCCCAGAAAGGTCTTCAGGGCTGAGCTCCCTCACTTACACCTGGGGAATCCTGGTCAGAGTTTGCCACCTCGGCAGCAGCTTCCATTGTTGCAGCAGTTTCACTCTGGAGAGGCCAAAGAGAAGAGAATTTGGGTGGAAAGGGGAAAAAGAGGATGTAAAATTAAGCTATTAACACTCTAACAACATATAGGAAAAAGTAGAATGTGATTCTCCTGTGGTCAGAAAGGTCTCTGGAACAAGGAGGACATTGTCTTCCTCCTTTAGTCAAGGGAGCAAACTCCTCCTAGACCAGCTGAACAAGCCATTCCTTGTATCCCTCCCTGAGCTCCAACACTGGCAGCCAGATCCTTACAGGGGGAAGGAGTCTGGGAATGGTGAGTGTCCAGCAGAGGAGAACAGAAGCTCCTCAGCAAGGCAAAGATCTGGCAACTTCTAGTTAACAACTTCAGGTCCCTGCAATTGTGTTGCTCATCAGAACTACCAAGTTCCTAACACTCCATCCAATTTACAGATTGCAAATCCATGCTGACCTCCCACTGTCAGATTCCTTTATGGAGACTCTTCTCCCCTCAGGTGCAGCACAAGAGGTCTTTGAAGCACACCAGGACGGTGTGGAGGTGGCTATCTAGAGTCACTTGAATTCCTGTGCTCCTCAAGCAGAGTGGAATCCACTGCTCAAGAAGATCAGGAAAAGAATCCCAGATTCCATGAGCAAAGTCACTGGGCACATCTCTTCCCTCCTTGGGATGGGCCTTACCTGCAGCTCAGCCAACAGCTGCTGCAGATTGCGAATCACCTCCACATTCTCCTTCAGGTCCTCATCCTCCACAGTCTCCACCAGCTTCTGCAGGTCCAACTTGCACCTGTGGCACAAAGTCCATGGCATGTTTGGGTTACACAAGCCAACAAGGAACGACTTCCCCCACTCAACACAAAAATGAACAGCCACAATTTAACTGTATCCAGGTTATCCCACTAAAAATGTTCAGGTTATCCCACAAAAACTGTTGAATTCTCAGCTATTTCCCCAGCACAAGGAGGGCGTGGAAGCACTTACACAGCATGGTGCTGGAGCTGCTCGAGTTTGGCACTCATCTTCTCATTTTCTTGCTCTGTCTAAGAGAAAGCAGAATGACACTGAATGGGAGAAGCAAAATAAGAAGCTGACTAAGTTGTGTGGGGCAAATCAAGGCCCTGAAGGATCTCACACAACCATAAGCCACCAGTTTGTTTGGATTTAGCACCTTTGCTTAGGAACAGACACAAAGTAGGGAGGGGATTAGGAAAGAGAGAACACCTGGGCAAGTGCTGGGATTTGAACTACTAAAGCAAGGGAAAACTGAAGGATTCAGGTCTACTTTTCCCCACTGAAGTCATCAGGTCTATGGTCTAACAGGCTCTGGGAGATTCTTGGGTTCTGGCTGAAATTTGAAGTCAATGTGAAAGGGACACTAAAGAGAGAGTCCCAACATGTCCTTACAGAATCACAGGATCAGTGAGATTGGAAGTGACCACAATGGGTCAACTGGTCCCATCTCCCTGCTCAGAGCTCATGGCTCAGGTTGTGTCCAGAGGGTTCTGGAACACCTCCAGTGAGGGAGAATCCACGACCTCTCTGGGCAATCTGTTCAGTGCTCAGGGACTGCACAGCAAAGAAGTTCTTCCTCGTGTTCAGGTGGAACTTCCTGGGCAGTAGTTTCTGCTGTTCCCTCTTGTTTGATTGGTTTCCCCCACTGAGCAGAGTCTGATCATCCTCTTGGCACCTCCTGTTCATGGACTTGAATCCATTGTTAGAGGAGCTGCCATTGATTAATTATCGGCAACTCAAAGCTCTCCTTAGGTAACTGAACCTCACCAGAATGATCCTCTCCAACATCTGTGCTGTCTGCCCAGCAGCCTCACTCAGTCCTTGGCTCAGCTTCTGGTTCTCCTCCATCAGGGACTGGTTCTTCTCCATCAGGGACTGGAGGTTCTCTGAGGGTGCCAAACTACTGCAACAGCAAGGACAAGTTTGTGAGCATGACCTCAACTAGAGGTTTGCAGCAGCACTGAGATTACCTCCAGGTTCCCTAAATAACCTACAGGAGAAATGACAGGATGGTTTGGGTTGGAAGGACCTCAAAGTTCATCCAGTCCCACCCCTGCCATGGGCAGGGACACCTTCCACTAGCCCAGGTTGCTCTACCCTGTCCAACCTGACCTGGAACACCTCCATAATGTAGGCAGAAGCTCCAAATAGAGGTTGCAAACTTCATGTACTTGGGTTTTGAGACATCCTCAGAAGCCAACACCTACACAACCCACAATGGGCGTACCAGGTGCTGTTAACAGCAATGGAGGTGAAGATGCTCCACGTTTGGGGCAAAAGGGTGAAGAAAAGAGGGATGGATGGCTCTGAGAAGCACGTATTTCCTTAGAGAGGAAGCAGACAACATCTCCCATTCCCTACAACTGGTTTTTGCAGTCTTAAAGGCTTTGCTCCAAAATTAATTGACCCATGCACACATGGAATTGCAATTAGGGTGACAAAAGGCACAAAAAGGAGACAACAAGTGTCCAGGTGCTATTAAAAGCAGCTGGTTTGCTGTACCCTCACTCCACAGCACTGACTGGAGCAAAGGGGATCAGAGGCTTAACTAGGGTGAGAGAGATCAGACACAGTGAGCATTCATCAACAGATCTTACTTGATAGACACGGGGAGGGTCCCTCCATGGGCCTGCAGCAGCAACACCTGGAGCTGTTGGACCTAGAAACACCAACAGGTACTGCCTGTAAATCTCTCCCATATAATAACTTGATGGTTGAAGAATGTCATTAACATCTTTAGTCTTACTGAGTCACCTGCTCCATAGTCCTACCATTGCCTGTGGAAAGGAGTCATGTTGCTGCAGAACTTACAGAGCCATCAAGGTTGGAGGAGACCCTGAAGATCATTGAGTCCAACCATGAATCTGTCACTGCTGGAACCCCTAAACCAGATCCTCCAGTGCCACATCCAGACACCTCTGAAACCCCTCCAGGGATGGTGACTCCATCACCTCCCTGGGCAATATCCCAGGGCCTCAACACCACAACAGGGAAAACATTTCTCCTCACATCCAATCTGACTCTGCCCTGGCTCAGCTCAAGGCCATTCCCTCTATCCTCTCCCTGCAGCCCTGGCAGGACACACATCCCCCACCTGTCTCCAGCCCTGACAGGAGTTGCAGAGAGCCAGGAGGTCACCCCTAAGCCTCTTCTCCAGGCTACCCCAACCCAGCTCCCTCAGCCCTTCCTTATTGGACATGTTTTCCAGACCTTTTCTAAGCTTCCAGACCTCTTATGAGCCTTTTATTTCATGTAACTTACTCCTAAAGTGAAAGCTTCCCTCTCTTCCCTCTGGAATCACCACACTCACTTCCCACTTTGTGCTGGGCACAGGGAATGGCAGCAAGGCACCAAACCATCCCTATATCCCTCATTTTCCCTGCAGTCTGTGCAGGCAATAGTTTGGTGGGTGGCATGAGATATAAAACACACCACCATTTTCCTATGGCATTCAGTTAACTACTGCAGAATTACAAGAAATATTCATATAATCATAGAATTTTAGGGGCTGGAATGGAGCTTAGAGATCGCCCAGCCCCAACCCCTGCCCTGGGCAGGGACACCTCCCACCAGAGCAGGTTGCTCAAGGCTCAGCCAACCTGGCTGTGAACACTGCTAGGGTTGGGGCAGCCACAGCCTCCCTAGGCAACCTGTTCCATTCATGTATTCCCTTTCCAGCCCTTCCACATCCACCTGCAGAGCCACAGAAATGCATATGGAATGTGCTTTGCCTATTTTATGTGCCTTTCCTTGCTGTTTGCTGAGGACCAGGAGCCCAGACCTGCTCCCCCCACATGGAGAGACACAGTACCTGCTGCTTCAGCTGGTGCAGCTCAGCTGCCTGAGGATCCACATTGACAATGGGCTTGTTTTTGATCTTCCTGGCCCTGTCAGCATATCTCAGAGTGTTCAGAGTCTCCTCCAGGTTGGAGTCTGCTGGGCTCACGCAGGCAATCATCAGAGTGTGGCTGTTTCCCCCCAGGGAGTCTGATGAGGGAAACAAGGCACAATCAAAGCTTTCACAGGCCAAGATTGACCAGAAACTTATCATTAAGATATTAAGCCCCCATGAGTTCACACCCAGAATACACTTAGAGGATATCCAGCTGTACTTTTGCCATTACCTTCCCCTCTGCCCAGGCAGCTCTGTATTCAAGAGGTTTTTTGACAGCCAAAGTCATGTCTGAGCTCTAAGCACTACACATTTCACCTCAGAAGCCCCAGCAATGTTGTTGTATAATAAGTACATTACTTGAGGCCATTGTAAGTAATTTATTTGCCAAATTAGGCCAAATAAGTGATTTTTATTCCATTTCTGGCCTAGTTCTTTCAGGCTTTTGCCTCCAGTAATGCTCAAGAGCTCCCTGAATATCTGGACATCAGAACTGTCTCCCATTTGAAGAGTTACTGAACAAGGTGTTTGTTCAGCTCACCAAGCTGAAGTGGCATCACAACCTTTGCTTCTGCACCGACACAGAGAACTAGAGACACAACTACTGAGCAGGAAAAAGGGTTCCACATCCAGCACCATCCACCTTCATGCCCACCATCCAACCCCACAATCCACTCCTCATCCAGAGTAACCCACCCCCACATCCACCCCCAAATTCCAGCACCATCCACCCTCTTGTCCAGCACATCTACCTACATGTCCACACAACCCCACAATCCACTAATCCAGCCAAAACCATCCAGCACAATCTACCCCCAAACCCACATCCACCCCCTCAGCCAGCACCATCCTCCCCCAAATTCCAGCACAATCCACCCCCTCATCTATCCCTTCATCCAGCACAATCCACCCACACAATCCATCCCCTCATCCAGCACAATTCTCCCCCTCATCTAGCACAATCCATCCCTATAATCCACCCCCCATCAAGTTTTATTAGGTATTTTCATATATGGAAAACACTGAAGAGTTCTTATACCAAAATCATTTATAGCTACCAAAAAACCCACCCAGTAAGTTGATTCCCAAATCTGTGCCCACATCAAAGTTTAATTTAGATTAAAAGGATTAAAATACCATCACAGCTACTGAAAAAAGTATACTTTAACTATATAAGCATTGCATTTTGGTATAGAAGTGATCAGGAGTATTACATTTAAGTACTAGAGACCAGATGCTCAAGCAGAGGAGACAAACCACACGAGGCACAGAGAAGACACAGCCTGAGCTCAGTCTGGCTCTGATAGCTCCAGCAAGTTGCTATAATTAGGGTATAATAACAGGTCTCTGCTCCCAGACTTCTCATCTGCCTTCTGCCCACCAAAAATATGCTCTGAGCTTCCTCCTGTCACACAGGAACTGCAGGAGAGGGCTCAGAAATGAGTTCATCACTGCATTTGCAACCTAGAAAGAAGAGTCTAGGAAAGGTCTGGATTCAGTAAGAGGAACTAAACAAATTCAATTCCTTGGCTACAGCAGCTCTGAGCTGCGGTTTGGTGGCTCTTGGGTTTCCTCCTGCTCTACTTAAAATGCATCTGCAGAATCATAGAATCAACCAGGTTGGAAAAGACCTCCAAGATCATCAAGTCCAACCCTACCGTGGTCACTAGCCCATGGCACTAAGTGCCACATCCAGTCTCAGCTTGAAAACCTCCAGGGATGGTGAATCCACCACCTCCCTGGGCAGCACATTCCAATGCCTGAGCACTCTCTCCATAAAAATATCTCTTCCTAACATCCAACCTAACCCTCCCCTGGCAGAGCTTGAGTCTGTGCCCTCTTGTCCTGCTGCTGGTTGCGTGGGAGAAGAGACCAACCCCCACCTGACTCCAACTTCCTGTCAGGGAGTTGCAGAGGGTGATAAGGTCTCCCCTGAGCCTCCTCTTCTCCAGGCTGAACACCCCCAGCTCCCTCAGCCTCTCCTCATAGCACTTGTGCTCGAGTCCCTTCACCAGCCTCGTTGCTCTTCTCTGGATCTGCTCCAGCACCTCAATGTCCCTCCTGACCTGAGGGGCCCAGAGCTGAGCACAGAATACAGGTGTGGCCTCACCAGCTCTGAGTACAGTTAGGCTTTATTCAGAGAATTTTAGTGGCTGGAATGGAGCTGAGAGATCATCCAGCCCCAACCCCTGCCCTGGGCAGGGACACCTCCCACCAGAGCAGGTTGCTCAAGGTTTTAGCCAACCTGTCCTCTCCCTTACCTTGCAGCAGCCTTGTCAGCTTGGAGTCTCTGTAGGGGACAAAGCCTCCCTTCTTGTTCTCATCTCCTAGAGCACTGATGACATTCCCCAGGCAGAGGAGGCCTCTGTTTATGTTGATGCCTGCAAAGAGACAGAGTAGAACCACTGAATGGCTAAAACCCGATCATTTTCTCAAGGTTAAAAAAAACCCCATATTAGATGTGTTAGAGAACTGCTTTGCTCTTTTATTAACTCTACAATGGTAAGAAACCCAAACTCTACCAGTGCTTTGCCTACAGACCTTCTTTTAGTCTGTCTCCCTCAGCCTTGGTCTTCTTTTGTCGCTCAGAGCCTGCAAGATCCACCAGGTGTAGCTTGGAGTGAAAACTGCAGTTCCTGTGGCAGAAATAAACCATTTCACTCCCTTAGGTAGGAAAGGAACAGCTCAGGAGAGGTTGAGTTAGGCTACTGAGCTGATATGTCAGAGAGAGCCCAAGAAGTGCTTTGTTCAAGACCATGAACTAAGGACAGGATGATGGAGATTGGAGTAGGTAACTCCTAGCAGCTTTGGGAGTGGCTGCAGCATCACACTTACTTGTCATTCTTCTTCTTCTGGTCAATGCAGATGGTGAAGATGGCATGGGAACGTGAGGACTGGGAGTTCATGGCTGTGGAACCCACTGTCCTGGAGTTGTTCCCTTGCTCTAGGCAGGACACAGTGTCTTGGGCACAGGTGACATTTCTTTCCGTCAACCCTACAATCTGCATCAGGAGGAGATCATTATTTATCCTCTCCTTCCTCTTCACTTTGGCTTACATCAGAGCAGTCATCCTCCACCTTAGGCTGTAGCAGACCAGGTGAGGTGCGCTCCCAAGGATCAGTCTCCCCTCAAGGCCTGGTATGGATCCCCCAGGAAAAACCTGTCCTGAATTCCACATCAGCAACATGAAATCACATCACCTCTCCTTCCTCCTACTCCTACATTCACACCCCAAGTCCCTCTGCCTGCCTGAGCACTGGGGATGGAGATACAGCCCTCAGCAACTCATGGACAGATCCATCCCTCAGATATCCCAGGCCAAACTGGGAGCTGAGCTGTCCCATCCCAGGCAGAGGAAGGGGATAACTGGCTGCTGGAGTGAGATTTATGTGGAGAGTGGTGGGAAGGCAACTCCCAGGGACACAAAGGAGAGGGGATGAGTGAGAGGGGCTGGATGTGCTTCTTGGCAAGTTGTGCTTTCCCTGAGGGCACATCACCCTGGATCACTCCTGTGCTGCTCCTAACACATGGATAAGCCCCACAGCAGTGCTTAGCACACAAAAAATTGTCACAAAATGACACATACACCCACTAATGACCAAGGCTGACAGCTTTCAGCTGTGCATGTGACAGCCACAACCTCCTCCCACTGCCAGCTGGAACTGTCTGAAGTACAGATTAACTGCAAACCAGCAAGAACAAGCAGCAGCACAAGGTTTTCAGCACTAGGCACACAAAACTGCTGAGAAAATCACTTGGTTTCCCCTCAGGATCCCTTTGTTGCATGACACATCACAATGGCAACAGGGCTGGAAATTAAGAAAAGGGACCCAAAGTCTCAGCTAGTCACCTGAATCAGCCTTCAAAAAGAGCCACAACAGGACTTGCAAGTGGCTTTGCCATGAATATCAAACCCTACTGGTGTTACCCAGGATCAGGAGCCCAGTTTTGGGAGGAGTGAGTGGTTGTGTTGATTGTGCAAAGCTCAAGGACTCAGGGAGCTGTTCGTGTCACCCCCTCTGCACCCACAGCCACCACAGCACCAGACCTTGATGCCTTCTTTGGGGTCTTCCCTTATGCTGATCTGGGAGGACCTTTCTCTTGAGGGGCACAACAGGTCCAGGATGTCCTCGTTGTAGATCTGGAAGCAGCAGAAGAGCAGCTGAGGGTTAGCAGCCTGCCAGGAGAGCAACTCACTAAAGAAAGCTGCAATTATGCTGAAATCAAGGCTAATTTGGCATCACATTAATTTCATCCACACTTTGGATCAGAATCCAGATCCTGACAAACCTCCTGAGGTCTCAGATGCTGATTTAAAACCAACATCTATCCCCTGAAGGAGGTGCCTCAAAGCTCATTTTACTCATAACTTGATGACAGGTTGAAAAGCAAAGATTTTACCTCGAGATAAGAAACTTTGAGGACAAATTCCCAGTCCTGCCTTTGCTGCTTCTCCTCAAACAGCAGCTTGATGACCCTGGGGATAACCCCCACACTGGGCTCGTGCTCCTGGTTGGCAGTGTAGGTGCCTCCCATGGAGTAGGTTTTCCCAGATCCTGTCTGTCCATAGGCCAAGACAGTGGCATTATATCCTGAGGGAACAAAGGGCACTTGGATCAGCCATGTGGGGACAAGAAGAGACTTTGAACAAAGCTGGAGAAACCATCCTGCCAGAAAATACTGCTCCTCACTGGGAGCTTCCACCAGCATTCAGCACACGGCACAGTTAGCAACACTGAGGGACAAAATGTCAATGAGAAGCTCCTCAAAACACAGATCAAACTGTTATTTCAGCTCTTTAACATTGTCTCTGGCTTTACTGGAGCTCGTCAGGATCACGGCACAAGGTCTCTGCCAGCACAACTCCACCAACGGCTCCTGGGATGAGATGATTATCAGTCCAGTGTGAGTCTTAAAGATGAAAATTTTCACAGGGGCCTGGAATGACAGGATGGAGGAATTGGCTTTGAACTGAAAGAGAATGTTTAGACTGGATATTGGGAAGGAATTCCTCCCTGTGAGGTGCTGAGGCACTGGCACAGGTTGCCCAGAGAAGCTGTGGCTGCTCCATCCCTGGGAGTGTTCCAGGCCAGGTTGGATGGGGCTTGGAGCAACCTGGGCTGGTGGGAGGTGTCCCTGCCCAGGGCAGGGGGTGGGATGGGATGAGCTTTAAGGTCCTTCCAACCCAAACCATCCTGGGACTCTTCTTGCCTTACACATAAAGCTCCAGGAAGCAAAAGGCCCCAAAGAACAATACAACCCATTTTACCAACCCTGTGGAACAGAACAACCTTGCAAACAGGCAAGATCGGCCACTTGTCGCTGGAAGCTAAAACCAGTTCCTACACAGTGCAGTTTTCTCCTGATAAAGCCAAAACCAAATCAAACCAGCACCTCCTTCCACCCACCGACCCCATCAACCCCCTGCACTTCACCTTTGAAGATGCCTCGAACCAGAGGGGACACAGCCGTGTTGAAAACTTCCTCTTGCTCAACAGAAGGGTCAAACACGTAGTCATAGGTGAAGGACTTATCGTTACCAACCACCACCTGCGGAGGAGATGGAACTCCCAGGGATGGGCACAGCACCCAGGGACCCCCAGGGCTGGGGTGAGGGGGGCAGGCGAGCCCCGAGGGGTGGTGAGTGCCTTACCTGTGGCTCCCCAGGCACAAAGGACAGGCAGGTCTGGCAGCCCTCGCTGATCTCCTTGTGCACCAGGGGCCGGCAGCGCAGCGCCACACGCACCGGCGTGGCCTTCTCATCATCCCGTGCCATCTCCTGCTGCCTACGGGACAGAGCTTGGGCAGGGCTGGCAGGACACCCATCCTGTTCCCATGGGAATGACCCTGGGGCACAGCTCTGCCCTGGGGGAGCAGGGACCATCGGGGGCATGGGGGATGAGTGGGGATCCCCATCCCAGGGGTCTCGGGGAGTGAATGGGAACCCTCGGGGACCTCCAGCTGTCCTACTCGGGGATGAGCAGAGACCTCTGGGGGTCTCAGGGGATGAGTGGAGACCCCTGTCCACCCTGCCCAGGGTGAGCAGGGACCCCCAGCAACCTTTCCTCGGGGTGTAAGAAGGGACCCCCAACTGTCCTGCCTAGGGATGAGTAGAGACACTTGGGTGTCTTGAGGGATGAAGGGGAACCCTCGGG